AATTTTTTCTGTTCTAACAACTTCTTTAATGATCTTTACATGTGACACAACCTTTTTGTTTGTAGAAGCGACGAATGTATGACAGCGAGCGAGCGTTTTCAAGCCTTTCGAGAAGGAAATAATAGCCCTTGGTTCAGTGTAAGTATATAACCGTTTACTACTGCCATTGGAACATTCCTTTATCAAACGACCATTTTCATTCCTATCACCGAAAACTCGGCCGCGGCGGGTCATTGGAAAAGCCAGCTATGCATTCATTCACCTCCAAACGATACTTAATGAAGTCGAATGCAAGGCGCATCTCACAGGGATTGATCAAGGCCGAGAGCCTAGAGCTTTAGAGCTTTTAGACTTGCATGAATAAATTTTCACATTTCCGCATTTGAAAACAATTAGCTTCAATCAACCTCGTGTAAGCTCATCAAAGAAAGAATACATATTGATTAGTGATACCGAGGTTCAAGGAAAGTCGGTTTCGAAATATTACTACGCTTTGTGCTAGCTGATAATAACACCGACTTCTGCACGATGTGCGCAATGATGTATGACCGGAAGAAATACAAGTTGTTACCAGCGGACATTATCATTATATCCAACATCAGCATCGTGTATAAAAGGGCATCACTGAGTAAGGATGCCTCATTCGAGGAGGTGGCTCACTGAAGAAGACCTGACTCAACACGAAGGCGAAGCTGCCACGTCGAGACGAATAACAAGCGAGGACCATCGACTCGGATCATCGCCTCTGAGGAAGACGAAGACGTCGAAACGTTAGCCAAAAATAAACATCATTATCAACCTCGTGTAAGCTCATCAAAAAAAGAATACATATTGATTAGTGATACCGAGGTTCAAGGAAAGTCGGTTTCGAAACAATTGGCTTCATTATTTAACGCACACATACAGCCTGAGTTTTCATGAATAGCGATTCGTTACAACTGTTCTTACGCGAGTTGTCTTGTTGTGAAGACTATCGACAGTGCCCTTCATCCTAAAACAAGTTGAGTCTTCCGTTATCACTTGTTAGCACTCAGTAATTCTTAAATAATTAACTTCTATTGATCATTTCGAGGAGGTTTTAAAGCCGAACGAAAAGTGTAGGGCAGCCATTTAAGAACAAAAGAAACTTAAAAACTAAACTTGTCACTCAGTCGCTGTCGCTGTTGTAATCCATAAGTATTTCTTACCTGTCTGATTATTTGCGAACGTTTTTGTGACGTGGGGATGTTCGAGTATTACCACTGGGTTCGGTTGGTTGCTGAAAATATGCGATTCCCCAAAAGAATCATTCTATGGTACTGCTTTGACCACAAAAGAACGACATCGCAAATAACATGCAGATACCGGAGTTTGTGTCATCGTCGTATTTGGAGCCGATCGTAAATAGGGTAGTTCGCCAAACTCACGAACAAGACGACAAAATAACGGACCATCTTCACTAGCACAAACACCGGATCCTCGTGTGACAATCTACAATCCTAAGTAGCACTTAAACAGTGAAATTCATTGGAAAAAAATTTAAAGCTTTCCATCACATTTAATTTGATCGTTATCATTAGTGTCCATCTCATGCTGGCAAGAAACTGTTCTACTTCAATGAACAACGAGACTGCCGTTGGATCACCGAGAATGGTGACGAGTTCAACAACGCCTGTTTACGTGGATCCGCCGAGAGTTAATGGAAGTGTCACTAACCACTCGAGGTGTCGAATTCATCGTAATTTTGGCTTGAAGACTATCGCATTTTCATCGTTAACCTTAGGGGCACCCGTAACTCAACTGTTTAAAGGTTGCCTTTGAAACACATTAGCATCAATTCGGCCTTATGCCACGAGCTAACTGAGCCCCTAATTAAGCGCCATCCTCTTAGAACTGGAAAATTGGTGCCATTGGTGTCTGTGATGATAGAAACTTTGACATACAGCGATAAGTCATTGCGTTGGTCATATATACATTCAATCCCCGCTAGGAAGTTTGATAAAGTCAGTTGCATGGTGAACACTTCAGAAAATGATCAGCGTCGACCGCTTTATCCTTTATCTCTTTTGTCGATGTTCCTGGAAAGTTATCACCACCTGCAGAACCCTGAACGTAAAAAATTGTGCCACCGTATTTCTAGAACTTTTTAGCAGATCAAAACTGCTCACCTATTGCTATCTGCTCCTTGAGCTTTTCTGCTGCGATTATTAGAGTATTCGGCTGAGTAGTGGGTAGCGGACTATGTATTCCATCAGAAAGCAAGGTTCCGGCTCGACCATTTTCCCTCCAGTCCACGTAGTAATGTTATAGCTATGCTATCTCTAGTATTGCAAACAGAATCGACTCGACCAGTATTCTACGACATTTCCAGAAAAGACGAAATCCTCATGTAGCAGCCATAACAATATGCGAAATGATCGAAGAGTACTGTAGATGATGAACACGAGAAAAACGAATAAAATGCAATAAGGGATAGGAACCTCACAGTAGATATAATGACAGCTCATGTAAAATAAAAAAAATGAAAGTAGACTGTATATCTATCTGACCATTCCAGGCTCTTAAAGGAACGAAACCCAAACGCCAGCCACGGTTAGATAAAACTGTATTAACAACCTCGTATTTACTCCAGAAGAAACACTAAATTCTACTTCTTCGTATTCTTATTGAGCAAACGCGAGGTGTTATTTTATTCTTTATTCACGAACAAGCTGGAATCCTCATAGAAAGGAGTGAGTGTGCAAAACTGTGTTCAATTTGATTAAAGTCATGGTTTAGCGTTTTCTCTGTTTGGTTATGGGGGTGTTTGGTTGAATAGATTGCTGTCAACTTGACCTTTCCAGGCTCTGAGGAAGGCGAAATCCATCGAAACGTCAGCTTGTTCATGACCAAGGAATAAAATAACACCTCGCGTTCGCTCAACAAGAAAACGAAAAATTATTTGATCAGTGCCGAGGTTAATATAAAGTCGGTCGTGAGATATACTACGAGACTAAATTCTACTGTTCCTGTGAGCCCGTGTGGAGCAGTGGTCGGAGGCGTTCTGCAACACACACATGGTATCGGACCCCGCGCCCGTGGCTCACCAATCCTTCCAACCCTCCGAGTTCGGTAAATTGGTACCAGACGTGTCTGTGAGCATGGCAGCACTTGCTCGATACATCGGTAGGCCGCCGTGAGTCATTGTAAAAGGCAGATATGCATTAAATCGCTTCCAACTTTGCTTAATGCAGTGGAATGCACGGCGCACACCTCCGGGATTGATCAACGCCGAGAGCTTTATCCTTTATTCTTTTACTGCTCCTGATGAAATGGCCTACATGATCATACTGTTACACTTTTGTAATGTCCCTTCTTCAAGAAAAAAAGAGGTGAAACCTCAACTCTACAGCACAGTCCGAGACCTCGCCACTATGAGGCACTAAACCGTTGTTTTTGAATGGGTACATCAGAACACATGTGGAGTTTCCTCTTTAAGCAAGAAACATCAGTGGTTTCTCGTCTTATGATAAAGTAAAAGCCTAGAATGTGAAGCGCCGGTGAAAATTTAGAGAAAACAGTAGCTCACCGTAAGACATCTGCAGAATTTATCGTCGCAGTACTTCCGTCCTGATTGGGCGGTGTAGCAATCATCGTGTTGTATGCAGCAGTGATTAATTCTTTCTAAAGAATTTTGGTTTGTAATAGAAAGTAATCCTCTGTCTTTCTATTACCACTCGCTTGTAATTTTGCTACCATATAGGTCAAAAATCACTTCTACAAACAATAACTTTTTTCCTTGCCTCTGTTCCCCTTAAAGTGCATCAGATTTGCTATGAATATCTTTTATGAGTTGACCCTTACTGAAGACAGAACACTGGGCGTATGGCGCAGTGGTCGGAGGCGCCACTGCAACACGCATGTGGAATCGATCTTTGCGCCTATGGCCCACAAAGCCTTCCATCCCTCTGGGTTCGGTAAATTGTTACCAGACTTGTCTGGGAGGGTGGCAGCACTGGCTCGATACATCGATAGGCCACCGCAAGTCATTGTAAAGGCCAGATATGCGTTCGATCCCCTCCAAACGATGCTTAGTGAAGTCTAATGCATAGCGCATGCCTCAGGGACTGATCAACACAAAGACCTTTAGAGCTTTTATTTTATCCTTTATGAATTAAGTGGGAGGCATGAAGATGGGCCTCAGTAATCTAACCGATGGATCTTTTCCCTATTACGCTTGGATCGACTATGATCAATATCAGCATAGGAAAGTTGTCAATGACTTTCAATGGTTGAATATCTCTTAACATTTGTCAGGTGAGCTAATAATGGAAGCGTCCAGAAACGATAAGTAAAGGAAAAACAACGAAACTTTGCTCACTCTTCAATCGTGGACAATCTAAATCGATCTGGTTTTCGCTCAAAAACCTGCCAACAGTATCAGCACCGCATTGCCATTCCTCCTCATCCTCTTCATCGCACAATGTGAAGGTTGACAGCGAAATCATCACGATGGAAGCTAGCAGTACAGTTGTCCACATTCTGACAATTGTTGTTCACTAGTACATTATAGTATGATATAAATTGGTACGGTTTTCTTTAACACCTAAAGGCTTTCCGCCCTATCGAGAGTGTTTTCCTAAGTAGACAAAATTTTAGATTACTGTGGCGATAGCCCACACAGATTTATGTGCAGTCAGTGTACCTCGTACAATAGTAGCAATCAACCTCAGAAAGGATCCGACATTAAAACTCGGAATCTCAATTAAAGGTAAACCTATACTCGGGCAAACTCTTCCTCTTCAATGAGTCAGCGATTGTTACGTTATCTTTTATTTATTGTCAAGTACTCTTCGCCTTCCTCAACCAATGAAGAAACCACTGAGAAGTGATTTTCTTCGTATTTTTGTTGAGCAAACGCAAGGTGTTATTATTCTTTGTTCACGATTAAGCTGACGTTTCGGCGAATTTCGCCTTCCTCAGAGCCGCTTTCTATGAGGTTTCCACTAAGTATGTCACGTAGAGACCAACCGCACAGAAATCACGTGGAAGTATAATGTCCACTTCCATGTCCATTATACTTCCACGTGATTTCTGTGCGGTTGGTCTCTACGTGACATACTTAGTGGAAACCTCATAGAAAGCGGCTCTGAGGAAGGCGAAATTCGCCGAAACGTCAGCTTAATCGTGAACAAAGAATAATAACACCTTGCGTTTGCTCAACAAAAATTCGAAGAAAATCACTTGATCAATGCCGAGGTTAATAGAAAGTCGGTCGTGGCAGCCACTGAGAAGTTCTGCGAAGGCCAGCGTTATGAGAAATGATAAGGTTGACAATGTGATCTTTAGATTAGAACACCGAAGGACACAAATATTTGCGTCACATCTCATTAAAACATGAGAAATCGATGACTTTCGTTCAAAACTGTGATATTATTCAGGGAGCGCAGCCAGTGAACAACACTGACGAATACGACAATGACAAACGAGGACCCTGGTGGTGCCTACTCTATTCATAAGCATATACTAGAGTATGAAGAGCAGTAGAACCAAGGAATTCGAAGCCATATTGGATCCTTTTCCACTTTGTACCCATTCTTGATTCTCTGCCAAAGTGTTCAAGGCATTCGTTCTTTCTTATAAACCTCTTCTCTAGGTCATCCGTCTTGTTCACTTCACATTTCAGAAGTGTTAGAAGATATGTATTTCATCTAGCTGAAGCTTTTTCTTGTCTGACGCATAATTTTATCGGTAAAGAAAAAGATGGCGGAGTTGTTGATCATCAATCTTCACTTACCGACGTTCTCGAGATTAGCGTCGAAAAAATTAGCGAGATAGAAGTGGCTTGTCGAGTGCGTCGTTCGTTCATGACATAGCGGCGAAATTGCGCTTGTGAACTTATTGTATAACCTCTTCCCATTGGTGATTACTCTGTAGTATATCCGGGGAGTAACGCGTTCACCACCACACCATGTGGGTCGAGTATTAGTTCAGACTAATCGACCCATCAATCGACGTTTGACCAATAAGGAGCTTTGTGGAAAATTTTTTATTGGTCCTTAGACAGGAGCTGATTCTGCAACCACTGTTTCACACAAATCTGAAGTAACTGACGACTTTGATGTTTCCATCAGAAAGCCCACTGAATCACTGTTTAGGATTACCAACTTCTTTGAAACGAAGTCACAAGGTGCCCAGTCTCATCCCTAAGCGCAAGAGTGGAATGATTTCATGTATGTGGTGACGGTCTGTAACGACCACTGATTGATCCGCTGCAGCTCACCTTCGACTTCGATAGGAAATCATGATCAACCGGTACCATGCCGACCAAGTCGAACTTACATTTTAGTTTGTCTCATTCTGCGTGAAATTTGATAATGTACCTACCCAACCATGACAGATCATACGAAGTAAAAAGTTGAACAGATTTTTAACAAAAGAACCGATTAGAGGAGGATATTCCGATGGAATTTGCTTATTAACAACCATCAAAGTGTACCTACAGCATTGCTTGCAACTTTTTCGAATAACGTAAAGTTTTGAAGGTAGTAATAAAATACCTGGGGGTATGTGATTTCGTCTTGTCCGTGTTGTCTGGTCGGATTGTGAGATTGTTGGCTGCCGAAACGAAAATTGACGTGAGCGGTAAAGAATAAAACAACGAGAATAAAAACAAGAAAACATTAAACAGAGCAATCTAAGTAAATGAGTAGCGGTCATTCAAGGAATGACCAGGAACACGGTCTCTGTTCTACCAGTAGGACTTTAGTACCTGAATTGACATCGGTTTTTTTTAACAAAACTTTCTTTAAGAAGTCAATAGAAGGAATCCATTAGTGTTTCATAAAATCAGAATTATTCAGGCAACTTCTAGTGAGAAAGTTACCAGCAAACTAACACCAAGTATGAAGAATGTTAAAAACGAATGAGACTTAAGGATATAAAGGAGTGAATTTTTTCTACCATTAGCATAGACGCCAACGAACTTGGTGAGATCACATACGATGGAAAACCGGTATCTGCAAACGTGTATGCCATCACATTCATTCAATGGAATTGATAGTAGACGGAAACGGATCGATGGGCTGGGCTGTGGTTCAGTGGGTAGTGCCGTCATTGAGCAGGATTTTATTCAGAGGTCACTATTATTCAGAGGGCAACGGGACAGTAAATCAACAAAGTCGCTAGCACACCTGTTCTCCTTATTTTGGTGTTAGTATCATGTCATCTCGCTTATACTCTTGTTTATCGTAAGTTCGATCAATGCCTGATCGACGTTTTCGATAACGGTAGCGGGTCTGAACTCTACTACGATTTTATGAATGATAGAAAAGTTTGCCAAAAGTTATAGTATTGCAGGGTCTCGCAAAATAAACCTCACAGAAGAAACGGTTATGGATAATGTCGATAATCAATCCATTCCCACGATCACAACACGATCTCTCATGAGCTGTGAAACCTCCCTACCATAACGTCGTTGTTCTACGACGATACCGTTATCGGAAATGTTTAATAAGTTAATGGCATTTGGGAAGGAAGATTCCATCCCATCAAAGGTGTTTAATGGTTCTCACTAAAGCTGGGACGGGAAACGAAAAGCGATGAATTGAAGTGACGCCATGTTGCCATTGCTGCTGACATTCTTGTCAGCTTAGGCTCTAGATGTCTGCAGAATGAAATGGAAGGTTTCAGAACATACTAGAGCACGAGGCAAGTAGTGAGGAAAACGAAGAACACGACAAGGCCTGTCACCTGTATCATTTGTAGTCCCGTTGGACGTCGAGTGACTCGAGAGGGCGCCAGTAAATCTTCCATTTTTCCCTGTCGCGTGCAAGAGTAGCCCAGTGAGTTCTGCTCGCTCAAGGAACTCGTCGAGCATCATATCTTTCTTCTAAACTCTTCGTAAAAAACTTTGACCATCGGGTCAGTGGTCTTCCTGTAGTACCTTTAACATCCCGATGAATCCGGTCACTAACGACTCTTGACCATCGGTTGTCATTCATACGCATTACGTGCCCGGCCCACCTTCTCTTCGACTGTTTGGCTTACAAAACGGCATCTTTGATTTTTGAAGGCTTCACAAGCCGCTCATTTTCTTCTGATCAGCTCTGGAGCTAGGTCGTTCATCATACTGACTTTCCGACCTAGATAGATATAACTGAAGCATCCGAAGATATTCGATCCGTTGAGTGTGAATGGAGCATATGAAGCCTATCCGGTTCTTCATGAACATAGTTTTTGTGAGATCTAGTCGAAGACCAATCTTTCCACAAGCTTTATCAAAGTCGTCAAGCATACGTTCCGCTTGGCTAATGTTTAGTGTTTTAAGGACGATGTCATGAACAAAGCGAAAATGGTGTAACTGTCGACCATCGATTTTCACTCCCATATTAACCCATTCCAATGTTTGCATGACGTTCTGGAGGGTGGCACTAAATAATTTTGGCGAGATGGTATCGCCTTACCTAACTCTTCTTTTGACGTCAATGTTAATATCGTTGTAAAATGGTGATAGCTTGGTTGTGAAATTTTTGTACAGATCACGAAGAATTTTATGTCCTGAGTAGGAACTCTTTGACTATCGAGGGCTTCCATGACTGCTTCTTTCTCAATTGAATCAAAAGGCCTTTTGTAAATCAATGGAAGTGAGATAGAGCTGTCTTTTGTACTCTCGCGGTACTTCAATGAGCCTTGTTATCGTGTGGATGTGGCCCATCGTATTAAATCGTTCTTGAAACCTGCTTGCTCACAGGGCTTTCCTTCGTCCAGTGTTCTATCAATCCTGTTTAGGACGACTCGAGTGAAAAGTTTGTAAACGATGGACAGCAAGCAGATTAGGTGATAACCACAACGTTGCTGAGATATTTGCAAAACTCTGGACCGCAGGTGTCTATGGTGGGGAACGAACGCGCTATTATCCTTTCCGAGGAGTAACGCGTTCACCACCACACCATGCGGGTCCTTTGTTTCGCACGTCTCTCAGCTATTTCTATCGATCTTTTTGCCACAGCAATCACCCGTCAGCGGGGTTGATCTGGGGAGCGCAAATCGGCATAGAACCCAGTTAAGCTATGGCTGCAGTTGAAATCACAATGTTTAACGTTTTTGTTTTCTGCCTTCTATAATTCTCATGGCAGGTTACTAAGCGAAATACAACCACAACGTTGCTGAGA